TTTTGTAAAAGTATTTTTTAATTAAAAATATATTAAAATATATTTTTTTGTTCTTCATGTTGGGACATCAAAATTATTAATTTAATATTTCTTTAAACAAAAATTAATATATTAAGAAACAGATGATGGCTCAAAACATGGGGTTCCTTGACATGAATGCAGGAGGAGGGACGTTCAATCATGGATGAGTATATTTCTCTTCCAAACAAAAGAAAGAAAAAACATTTTAATAAGGAGAAAATAAAATGTTACTCTCTTAAACAGTTGACTATTTGGAGTTGCTTTTTTCTGATCAGCCTGGTTGACTCTCAAGTGTCTGCAATCAAGTTTGCACCCATAAAACAGGTGTCCCCAGCACATTTCTCACTAGGAGGAACTTCAAAAATAATTAAATACACAATGGAATAAAATACAATAAGCAATATGGGTGTTGTTAAAAATTAAAAAAAGAAGAAGAAAATAAATTTATTAAATTTATTTTAATAAGAACAAAAAAATTATCAATTCTACAATATTTGTTTTTCTTAATTAAGTCCTCCTTTTTTTTTTTCAATAGAGTTCAATTGCTTTTGTGCTTCCTTACACCTCTTTAGCATAAATTTATTAATCTGACCTTTATTATCATCTCCTCATTTCTCTTGTAAACACTAAAAAAATCAGTTTTTATCCTTTTTTTTCAAGAAATGAAAAACACAATAACACATGGTATTCATCTCCTTGTTAACAAAAAAAACTAAATAATATATGTTCAGTTTATTATTATTTTATTATTATGAAGAGTGAATCACCTCAATTTTTTTAAAAAAATTTATGAAGAGTGAATCACCTCAATTTTTTAATTTTTTTTTCAATTACATTCTTCTATAACCTAATTAGATTAAATTAGACTTCAAATCATATTATATATATCAAATTAAAAGAGAGACGGCTAAAATATAAAAACAAAGAAAATATATGACTAATCCAAAAGTAACAATTTTCATTCTAATCTAAAAGTTTATTTTCGTTGCATTTCAATTTCTAAGTTAAAAAGACAAGGGAGAAACTCATCTAAAAACAATAATAAAAAAAGAAAGTTATTAATTGCGAGCAGCAGCCAAAATGATTAAATTTGATGTAGAAAAATCTCATTTGACAAAATAAGTTCGATCATGATGATTTTTAATTTTCATATTGCTTGAAGAGATAGATCGAGATTAAAAGAGAAAATTTTTAACTATTTAATTTAATATTTCTGGATAATTTAGGATGTTCTGTTTTGAGAGATTGATTTAATGATGATTCTATGGTGTTTTAGGTTTAAAATGGATTGCAAAATATTTTTTTCTAATTAATCATTCCTTCATATTCTTGTAAAATGTTTTTTTTGCTTCAAGAATGATCTTGTATCAAAAACAGCATTTCATCTCCAAAATTCATTACTGTATACTCATAATATAACTCATCAACCTCTTAAAACAAGCCGAAGAAAATTGCTATATGATTCGCTAGCGGAGGGGTAGAGAGATAGATGAAATGAATCAATTTTGAGCTGATTTTGTTGGTGGGAGTCGTGATTTTGGGTTGGATTTGTCTTGCTTAAAATCTCAAGATTAATGACTTATTGTTAACGATAAAGGCAGTGGTAGCTTTTCATAAACGAAAAAATATAATGAAAAGTTGGTTGGAGGTTTAGTAGGTGGAAGATTAGATGATGGTTTGTATGAAGTTTGAATAACAAGACAGAAGTAGCGTCCGGGGGTGTTTGCTGTCACGGGTGTTTTTTAAAATAATTTTTTTATTTAAAAATATATTAAAATAATGTTTTTCAGTTTTTTTTTACATTATTATATTAAAATCATAAAAAAATACTGAAAAAATATCAATTCAATGTTTTATCAAACTAAAATCACTTTTAAAAAACATCTACATATATAAGTTTAAGATCTCTCAAACACCCTAAATGGAGAGCATCACCTAAGGTATATAGAGATTTAAGATTTGAGAAAATGATAAATTTAGATACAATTATATATAATTTGAATAAATGATGTATTTTCGTTGACTGAAATTAATAAATTTAAAATTCTAAAACTTATTTCAAACAGAAGAATCCAATTAGAAAATCAAGTCAGTTTAATCTTTTAATTAATTGAAATCAATTTTAGTATAAAATTACTTAGAATTGTTTCCAAACAAGTTGTTATTTGAATCAAAGTAACTTGATACTTGTTTAGCTCCAGCATAAACTTGGCCTTATCATGAGAGGACTCCTAACCCTAAGTGGTAGCCATGGAAAATTTCTTTCTTTTTTGAGCAGCAGCCAGGAAGATGATAGCGGCAAACGGCGGCACAAATAGCAGACCAACGTGTTAAATAATTCTTGGCTGTGTGTGAGAGAGAGGGATACTTGCTCATCCTGACAACTTTTAAGGGAGCAATTGTCTTGGGAAATATCTGATCAGACCTGTAGAGTTTTGTCCAATAGCACGCTCCCAGTTAAAAGTGTGGTGGCTCTCCACTTCTTTGGCCTCTAATACGAAACCTGGTAAGGATTGAACCACCTGAAAAATACCCCCTTCCCATCTTACTGCCTTGCTGGTATTTTAGACGTGTTCATGAGGTGGGCTAGGTTGCTCTTATTTTGCAACATTTCTTAGGGAGAAGTAACACCAAAAAGAAATCCGTTTTGGAATGCTTCTCACCATCTGGCACAAGGAAAAGATTGAATTATGAGGAAATTTGAAGGACAAAAACATGGAATCTTCTGATAACTTGCAGAATTCATTGTTTACAGTCCAAGAATGTGTTTCTTTTCAAGCAATAAACTTGCCTCAGTTTCAGCAGAGCAAGTTTTTTTCAGCGATTAAAAGTGCATGCCATAAGCTCCTGTCAACATGGAGTGCATATTGCTGGAAATATCCTTAACACTCAAGTAATTTTGAAAAACTGGCAATAGGAAATAAAATTGCAGCCACATCCTCAAAAGGCCACATATACGTGTAATACACATATATGAAGTTGTATAGGTATGTCTATCAGTCAAATCTTGGAGGTCTATGCTAAAACTACACGAGCTCTATGTGGATATTTGATGTCAAAATATAATAAAAGTTGAGAACACTGAATAAAACTGTCTTGGGACTTAGTTTAATACGCTCTCTGATCCTCGGCTAAGAGATTTGAGAGAAAGGTAGCAGACTTCAGATGGTATAAACAGCTGAAAACAGAACCTGGAAGTAAGCAGCTCTGATGTCTGGGTTCGTTATGTCTTGCATTATGTGAAATTGTTTATTGCTCAAAGCTGGACTGGACTGGAAAGAGGAAGTACTAGATAAGAAGTCCTCCGTGGGCCAGTCCCAATTTTTTCATTGTAAGAAAAAATTAAGGTAATGCAAGTATTTTAAAAAAAGCAAGGCTCTGGTAATTAATTTGATTAAATTTAATAAAATTTTATAATTTTGATAATATTTATACACACACACATGTTTAATAAAATTTTATAATTTTGATAATATATATATACACACATACATACATCAATAAAAAACATAAAAAAACATGTTGGTTGGCCACACGTATATCCATGTTTTGATTCCTTAAATTTGGTGCGTGTATTAGAGCAACTCGAACATATAAATTAAATGAATAGTTAAAAATAAAATAATAATAATATTTTAGTTTTTTTTTGTTTGTTTTTATACTTGACGAGAAAAACTAAACAAAATACTAAAATATTTTTTATTTTTCATAAATACTATTCATCCATATCTCTTAAAAAAACTAAAACTAATAAAATGAGACTAATAAAAAAATAATTCAATTAAATATATTCATGTAAAAAAAAACACTTATTTATTTTACTCCAATATAATTGGTTTAAATAAATTTTTCCATGATAAAATTTTTTATGATTATACCATTTAAAATACTATTTTATTAATTTACCACTTAAGCATCTTAATGCTCTTAAACATGGTGTCAAAAGAGGGAGGGGGATCTATTCGGGCCAGGCTGGCTGTAGCCTTTCAAGCTAGAGCCCAAGAGACGAGGGTGTTGTTTTTTGGGCCGTGATCTAAACTTTATTTTCTTAAGATTTGTATACCATCACCCATAATATATTTTTTTTAATATAAAAACACTATCATGCTTATGTGAACAAGATAGACAAATTCGTAAAAGTTTATCTGATACCATTAACTTTAATGAGAACATTTGGAAATAAATAACTCCACTTAGATTAATATAATAAAGTATTAAAGAAGTATAAATTTATTCACCACCACCACGATCTCATTCACAGTTCATGCTTCTAAAGATTCAATGGACTTCAATTCTCAATATGATGTCATAAATCTTCAAAATAATTTTATTAATAGTGTAACCCTCTAAATTAAATTTAATTAAGGGATTTTAATGAAATTTAATGTTTGAAATCATTTTAAATGTAAAAAAATTAAATCTCAAATAGAATTTAATTTCTAAAAATAGAATAAAAGTAAATTAGATGACAATCCCTCTTATATACAATTACAAAAAATAAGAAAATTAATGTTATAACTATTTTTTTCAAAATATTTATCTACCTATCTATTTATTTTCAGATATCAGAAGAAATAAAATAAATGTGATTAGAATAGAGATCATATATAAAATAAAATAAAAGGAATAAAATTTATTTATTTTTTAATACGTGGAGTAACATGTTTACCAATTGACTATATAGGAAAAGAAAGCATTGACTAAGATAGGCTCAAGTCCAAAGTTACGAGGATGCATTTTCGACTCTGTAACATTTTGAGGAGTAAACAAAATTAAATTTCAGCCCAAACCGCATATTAGAATGGACATCGGCAAGATTAATATCGAAGCCCTGATCCGACTCTCATCACATTCCCTTCATGTTGCTGTCCTCTCTCCCGCCAACCTGCACCTGACAACCATATAAACTTACAAAAACCAAGTTTGAAACCCAGGGGCAGAGTAACGGACTCTTCCCCCCTCCCTCACTTCCTCCCTCCCTCCCTCCCTCCCTCCCTTTCCGATGCTTCAGCATGGCCCTAAAAGACCACTGTATGTGCCCTTGCAAAATATCTTAACAAAATCCCAGCACCAAAATCCAATAATAAAAACCCAATCTTTGTCTCAAGAAGGCACCAATACCCCACAAAATCCACCAAACCGATTTTGTTCTGAAAAGAAGTATGGGCACATATGTGACCTCCTTTTGTCACAAACACGCTCAAGGTCTCTTTTAAAGGGCCAACAAATTCATGCCCATATAATAAAATCTGGCCTACAAGTAATCCCTCTCGTTTGCCATTACCTTATCAACTTTTATTCGAAGACACAGCTGCCCCTTCTTTCCCGCCAAGTTTTCGAAGAGAGTGAAAGGAAATCATCGACTACTTGGAGCTCTGTTATATCCTCATTTGCACAGAATGAGGAACCAGCGCTTGCCATTCAGTACTTTTGTCGGATGATTGGCGAAAATCTATGCCCTGATGATCATATCTTTCCCAGTGCTACTAAAGCGTGTGCGATTTTGGGGAGATGTGATGTTGGGAAATCTGTGCATTGTCTGGTTATTAAAACTGGGTATGATGTTGATGTGTTTGTTGGGAGTTCTTTGGTTGATATGTATGCTAAGTGTGGGGATATTAGGGACGCGAGGAATGTGTTTGATGAAATGCCGCAGAGGAATGTGGTTTCTTGGAGTGGAATGATTTATGGGTATACTCAATTGGGTGAACATGAGGAGGCTATGAGATTGTTTAAAGAGGCTTTATTAGAAGGTTTAGATGTGAATGATTTTACGCTTTCAAGTGTAATTAGGGTGTGTGGTAGTGCTACATTGCTTGAACTTGGGAAGCAAATACATGGGTTGTGTTTCAAAACGAGTTACGATTTGTCGGGTTTTGTAGGTAGTTCTTTGATTTCCTTGTATTCGAAGTGTGGTCTTATTGAAGGAGCTTACAGGGTTTTTGATGAGTTTCCTATTAAGAATCTTGGGATGTGGAATGCTATGCTGATCGCTTGTGCTCAACATGCACATACGAAGGAAGCATTTGATTTGTTTAAGAAGATGGAAAATGCTGGAATGAGACCAAATTTTATTACCTTTTTATGTGTGCTTTACGCTTGTAGTCATGCAGGGTTAGTTGAAGAAGGAAAGAAATATTTTGCACTCATGAAGAAGTATGAGATTGAGCCAGGGACCCAACATTATGCTTCTATGGTGGACTTACTTGGCCGTGCTGGAAAATTGCAGGAAGCACTTTCGGTTATCAAGGGAATGCCTACAGAACCAACAGAATCTGTGTGGGGAGCTTTCATAACAGGGTGTCGCATTCATGGGAACACTGACTTGGCAGCCTTTGCAGCTGATAAAGTCTTTGAGTTGGGTGCTGTAAGTTCAGGTTTGCATGTGATGTTATCAAATGCTTATGCAGCTGCTGGAAGGTATGAGGATGCAGCCAAAGCTAGAAAGATGCTTAGGGACCGAGGGGTGAAGAAGGAAACTGGACTGAGTTGGATTGAGGAGGGAAATAGAGTTCACAAATTTGCAGCAGGGGATAGGTTTCATGTCAGAATGAAAGAAATTTACCAGAAATTGGAGGAGTTGGGAGAGGAAATGGAGAGAGATGGTTATGTTGCAGACACAAGTTTTGTGCTGCGAGAGGTGGGTAGTGAAGAGAAAAACCAGACCATTAGGTACCATAGTGAAAGACTGGCCATTGCATTTGGGCTCATTTCCATCCCACTTGGCAGGCCAATCAGGATTATGAAGAACTTGCGAGTTTGCGGTGATTGTCATAATGCAATCAAGTTTATTTCCAAACTCTCTGGGAGAGTAATCATTGTGAGGGATAACAACCGGTTCCATCGTTTTGAAGATGGAAAATGCTCTTGTGCTGACTATTGGTGACTGAATTGTAGAATTTTTAGTCAGTTTCATTAAATTTATTTTAAATATATAAATTTGAAGTACATGACTGATTATAGTATAACCAAACAAAAAAATAGATTAAATTGAATTATCTCAAATATCTTCTTACTGATTTTTTAGAATAATAACTAGTTATTTTTAAATAGCAATGGCTACAATAGTTGTCTAGAAGCATTTTCATCAACCGCTCATAAACCTCAAATACATGGTTGTCAAATCCAATCCAAGGTAATTATTTTTGTCATATAAGGATATGTTTATCAAATCCAAGAAAAGGATTAAATTTGTTAAGCTCATGAATCACTTAATAATTATTTTTATTCTAATTATATTATTTCTTTATAATTTTTTATGAAAATATTGACTGGATCTGATGAAACAATTTGGTTATATTAATGGCTTCTTAAGTTTAACTAAAAATCACTCCGCCCGAGTTAAACTTTCAATTTTAATTTTTTTTTCTGAGTCAACATGCACTAGGACATGGAAAACTTGTACGAAAACGAATGATTCCTATCTTTCGTCGCCGCAGCCAGGAATCCATAACGAAATGATTATTTCTATACCTGCTTGGAGTAATTATAAAAAAACTTATTAAGATTTGAGACCGTGAAATTAATCATGAAATTAATTAATGGAGGTATATATAAATTAATTTGGATATTCATATTAATAAAAAAAAAAACATGTTAACGTTTGATCTTGTTTTTTATTTTGTTGTAATTTGAGAAATTACATTTTATTTTTTAAGTTTTATACACACATTAACACTTAGTATTTTCTAGAAAAAAAATAATTTTATTATTATTTACAGGTTTACTATTATATTTATTTTAATGATTAAAAAGCCTTAAAATAATAAATCGTCGTTTATAATCTATAATCACAATAATGTTATCCATAATTCCATAAATACAAATCACATTTCGTCATACAATTTTTGGGCATCATTGATATTTTCTTTTTCGCGCATTAGCTTCCATAATTCCTCCAACACATTCTCATCCTCCAAAATTCATCTTCTCTAATTATGAAACAAAGCAGCCCTTCCCAGACAATAGAGCATCTATGCAATGATTTGTAGTAACCTAGCCCTTCCGGACTACACATAAGAAGCGGCACATGGAGTGGAAGAAGCATCTTACTGTGCTAGTCATCGGTAACACATCTGCTGTCTCCATAGAAAAGACACAAGTCAATCATTTCAGGGTTAAAACTTCCGAGCTGCACGATGCAGTGGGTTCATCGAGTAGCATCCTGAAGGAGCGATAAAAGCTGCAAAACGCGTCTCTCTTTCTAGCACTGCCCTGGCACATTTTAGAGCATTGAAAGAACAGATCGTGCACATAATATTCTCTGGAGAGATGTCAAATTGGGGAACGTCACGGTGGATAATATGAAGAAAACAATCCTTGCCATGGCGCTGTAGGTTAAAATCCGCATCCCAGTCCTGTTTCCCACAGAAGAAAAAACAAACAAAATAAGAACAAGTAGAGATTTATATTCCACCACCTTGGTTCTTCTTGATCTTTTGGCAATGTGCTTAATATGAGATAAAGGTCGACGACTGCAATTCTTCCTTTTTCTTTTTCAGATATTTAATGGTGGCTGTTTGATTTGTTATTTGAAGCATTCTATCCTCCAGTTAAGAAAGAAAGATGAGGGTACCAACTCATTTGAGCCACTGAATCAATTCATGGCAATTCCCGCTCTTGAATCTGGGTGTGTAACTGGGTATACTCAAAATGCATGCAATGACCGTGCTTTGTGTTGTATGAATTTATCAGGCTTATCAAGTGATGAAATATGAACTGTGTCATACTATCATATGAATTCATTTAAGATTTTAAAATTAAAAGGGTTAAACATATGTTGAAAGCCACTTGTTTTATATCGCAACTTTCAAAATGACATGTATCTCATAGCTAAGATGACATTGAGAACTATGAAAGTTGATATAAATGTAAGTGTTACAAATATCCAAGCTACTGTGAATAGGGATTATGAGTTAAGACTTCTCATATAAGTGACATGTATCTCATAGCCAAGACTTCTCGTATTACAAGGTATTGGTGGCTAACTAGAACATGCTACCTAGAATGCTATAAACTATTAGATAATCAAATCTGGGTATGATTGTTGATTGGAATCATAAAATAGTTATAGATATAAAGCAATATTTGGAAGTTGCAGAGAAATATGAGTTTTAACCTACTAGTTAGCCTGTTCTTTCTATTTATACATATAAGATAATATATAATGGATAATGTAGAGATTACAACATTAAATTAATCTTATAATATTTTCCAGATATATACATTCTATAAAATTCCATATATTGAACAATGTGAATTGTCTAAATTGTTATGATCCACGCTTTTGTTACTGATATAGCATGTTTTGGAAAAAAAAAAATGCAGTCATGAGGAGTGACTGCATGAAGTCACACCATTTGGGCTGGCTAGCAGCCTAAAGGTGTACTGCGCCACACTTTTTCTTCTTCTTCAGCAAGTCTCTCAGTTTTTTTTTTTTAAGTCTTGAGAAGTCATAATGCAGCGCAGCACCGTGCACCTTCTTCGTGCGTAATATATTTCATAATTAATTGATATATTTTCTTATAAATTCCTTGTAAATACAAAATTTTATGCAGCATCGTATTTTTTTAACCGATGATCAATGGTGCAAACACAAACTATTTTTTAATGCAATTCAGACGTCTCTAATGTTCACCAAGTATGTCACCAGTGACATGTCATACACTATAACTGATAATGCACATTAGTATTTTTATCAATTAGTTATAACATTAGGTTTATAAATATCTTAGATCATCATAAAAATAAATAAATAAATAAATTCTAAAATTTAATATATTTTTCTTCATCTAGTTACTCTATATATTCTTTATTTTATGTATTTATTGATTTATGAGAATCTCTCATTTCAAAAAAATTATTTTTTCACTAAATTTTTAATACTATCAAGCCCAATAACTAAATTCATATACCATACTTTTGTTTCAAGCCCAGGCCCATGAATACCCTATGTCTTGGGTGATCACAACAAAATAACATACATATTAAGTCTTAAAATTTTATTTTTACACTAACATATTCAAAATTAATTCATTTCATTTGTTACTTTCTATATTTATCGCTTTGACCTTTTCATGTATTGAATTTTTTTTTTAATTTTTTCTTCTCTTATTAAAAAATACTGGATTAGCATGTTTTGTTTTAATTGATTATTTATTGAAAAATGTTAAGGTTTATTCCAAAGTTTCGCATTTGATTTATTTATTTTTAATGCAGCACCTCTAAAAATTGTTTGATTATCAAGCATTGCTGGAATCGAGAACACTTGGAGCCTTGTTATTAGTAGGGACGTTAAAAAAAAAATTGGTCTATTTGTAACACTTGTGCTATCTCATTCAACTTTTGTCAAAATTAAATAATATAAATATTATAAATGATAATAGATTAAAAAAATTAAAAAATAAATATTACAGGTTGAGTTACAAATCAAGATTTTTAAAACTTGTTCAATCCAACCCAACTTGTGTATATCATATACTTTATTTATCTTTATATTAAATAGTTTGTGGATTGAAATTTTATTTTTATTTTATTTAAAAATATTTCAACTTCAAAATTCTTGTTAATTGGCTTTCTATTGAATTTCTTTAATGTAACAAAAAGAATAAATCATCTTTTTCATAGAAAGAAGAGGAGAGCAACTAGAATTTAATACATGTGCAATGTATGAAAATTAAACCTAACAATAGAGATGTCATGATACCTACAATTCCATCCATGTTGTAGATCCACAACTAAATACAAATCTATAACAACTAGCAATATAAATTAAACTCAAACTCATTTCTAATATGCATAAATAAATTTATTCTAACCAATATATTTATCTAACTCAACTTGAATAAATTAAATTTACAATTTATAAATATCAAAAATTAAATTGAATACAATTATAAACTCAAACTCAAACTCAAACTCAAACCCCACAAATATATGCATGAGCGATCCTAGCTAATTTTTTTCTAATGAAGAAGCCATCCTCTATTGCCAGCGTGTTCTTCATCTTTCTGGTTTAACTACTACGTTTATAATTTTGTCCACCAAAATGTCCCATTTTCAGTTTTTTTTCCTTTGAGCTTCGCTAATGAAACTTGAAAAAGACAATGAAAAATTACTTATCAAACATAGGCACCGAAAGGGGGGAACCAGGCACCATTCCCTCGAGATTTCCTTACCTCTTAATTCATACTGGTTTTCTGTTAAAAGAAACAAAAGAAAAGAAAAGCTAAAGGAGGATTTTACTATACTTTTTAGTTTTTCCACCACCCCTTTCTACTTTTCTCATCATAAAGCACTTGGTGAAAGGGAAATGCCATCCATTCCATATTGATTTTTCATCCACCAAACTGAGAACATACAAAGACACAACATAATTTAACATATCAAGGAACCAAAACAAACAGTAATGTAACACAAAAGGAACTTGCATGCATGAACCGAGTCATGTTAAACAAAGTTGTGGATAACTTCTTTATCCCCAATTTTCATTGATTCACCACACAATAGCTCTCTACCTTAAGAAGTACAAAAGCAAAAGCTAAATCCCTCACATGTGGTCACATCAAACAAGATTGGGACACCATCTTAGTATATTAAGCTAGGCATAAAAAGATGGAAACCTAGCATCTAATCTCTCAAAAAAAGGCTGAAGAATCTATCCACATTCCCCACATTTCTCAAGTCCCACTTGCTGGATTTGGAATCCACAGCACAGGTTCCAATTCCATTCCCACACAACCCACTAAAGGAGAGATAATAAAAAAGTAATAAGACGAGGAAAGAAACAGCCATGGGGACCTAAAGTTAGAGATAACAAAGCCTAAATAGTTGCATCAAGATCATTGTACCTTCACTTTCTGGTAATCTTATTGTTTCAAAACTACTTGCACCA